GGGGTAGTAACTATAGTAACGCAGTGTAGGCGGAGCCGTGACGTGATCTTCAGAGAACCCCAGAAAAACAACACAGCCGTTAGCTGTTAGCACTCAGAGCTCACAGCTCCTCATATCTGTTCAGAAACTAGACAAAAGTTAAACAAGTACAAACCACAGACTGCCTGTGTCATGGTGAATACAGTCGCTGCTTTATTTATGTCTGTAGGCCGTTGTTGTGAGTGTGGACGGTCGGAGCATATACTGCGTTAGCTTAGCCAATCTCCATTTAGAAAACAAGCATTTTAAAAGGTGTTTCTCCTGCCGTCTGTCTGCAGACTTGTCAAAGCATTAATTCATGGTTTTTACTAACCGGTATCAGTATGTTGTTACTTCATCATTTTGAAACGTGTATTACAATTAAATCACGGTCAAATATGTCCATCTTGTTGTAGTTGTAGCCCCCTTGCCAGCGATGCTCTCTCTAGTTTAGCATACTCAGCCCGACTCAGCCTCGTTGTCTCTGGCCCTAGACCCACGATTTTATGAGGCCAGAAAAACTGTGAATTAGGACCCGCCGGCCGGTACTAGGCCAAGTGGAAACGCAACCAAAGACGGGCCGCTGACGTCACAGCCCTCTTAAACCGGGCTGCGGGCTGTAGTGGAAACGCGCCATAATACGTTTGCGCTGTGGACCAACACTATAAATTGACGGGGAAGGGGGTAGCAATAAAGATAACACCATTAAACAGTTACACAACATAACAGACATAATATCGATAGCAGCGTCCCTAGCAACCACCTTGGTAACAATGAAAACGTTGGATTTACACAATTTCCTGAAGTATTCTTCGTAATAACTAGCAAACTAAAGATCATGTACATCCACTGCACACATCATCTGAAATAACAACTCATATTTCTCGCATCAAATGACATCAAAACGCATTTTAATGGCCAAACTAACCTTAAAATAGGCATTTTCTACCGAGAATAAAACGAAGGTCGGCCATGTTTTTTTATTTCTGCGGAGAGAAAGTTGAAGATCACGTGACAGACGCCAGCCAATGGAAATGAATGGTGAAAAAAAACGTAGGGATCCTACAATTTCAGAGGCGTTTTTGTAGAAATACTACGTCCCACGTTGTGGACCAACGTAGTTATTACACGTTTAGATGAGAGACTGGGTTGGAATCTCTTATACTCTTTACGGCGCGTCCACACAGCAGCGTTAAAAAATCTTGGGCTTCTGCCCATTCACTTTGAATGGGGTGACGTCACTTTGCCTCACTTTTCGCCGAACTGCATTGTGGGAAGCTAAGCGGAGATTTTCAGGATTTTCAGGATTCAAAAGTTGAGCAATGTTCAACTTTTGAAGCTGAGGTGGAAGCGTCAGCCAATCAAATCCCGTGTATGCAAATCTGACAGTTCAAGCTCTAGCCAATCAAATGGCGTGTATGCTGGGAGAGACATACCGCAGGTCATTTCCTCATATTCCAAAACATGGAGGAGAAATGAGCGGTAGGGAATCACCCGGTGCTTTATGACCAGTCCCTATTTACCTACCGGGATACAAACCGGAGGAGCCAGGCATGGAGGGAGGTGGCAGAGACAGTGGTAGCTTTTCTCCTGTTTGGAGTTTATATCCAGTTTACTTCGGGCTTTTTTGCTTCGTATGTCGGGGGCGGGAGATTCATGTGATTGGTTGTTGGTCGCGTTGCTCGCAAAAAATCCCCAAGCTTCAGATACGCCCACCTCCAAGATTCTTTTAACGCTGCTGTGTGAACGGGCCGTTAGAGTTAATTCACATTTGTAGGACATCATTTGGGGCACTCACCAGTGTGTGTGTGTGTGTGTGTGTGTGTGTGTGTGTGTGTGTGTGTGTGGGTGTGTGTGTGTGTGTGTGTGGTGTGTGTGTGTGTGTGTGTGTGTGGTTGTGTGTGTGTGTGTGTGTGTGTGTGTGTGTGTGTGTTCCACTTCTTCTTCCTCCTCCTCCTCCTCTTCCTCAGATCTTTGACCTATTAAATCTCCAGGATCTCTTCCCGCTGCCGGACTTCTTCTTCCTCAAATGTTCCATATCTCCATGTCTCTGAGTTCCTCCAGAGAGACGCTCCATTTCCCCGAAACGTCCCAGAAACACAGGTTATTTCCAGCTGCCCTGCTCCACATTTCAGAGACTTCCAATACATGAGAGTAACACATGCGTCACTTCCGGGCAAAAAGTACAGCTCCGCCCACTTTTGGGGGAAATCAAAGCTGTCATTTGATTGGTGGTCAATACACATTCTGAAGTTTTTGCCAATCCGATCAGAAATGTTTGAAAACCGTGGATTTGTGGATCTTCAAAGAGCCCGATAACGATTTCCATGTCAAAAAAGTCACAGTTTGTCGTAAAACTGTTGAAATGTAAGACTATGAAAAATACGCAACTAGAAAGACTACAAATCCCAGAGTCGCGGTCCCGCATGCTGGCTCTTAGGAACAGACTCACTCCCCTTGTGTGTATGCACAGCTCTCAACATGCCCAGACTTGGAGTGATTTTCACCTCTTTTAATACTTTCCGCCTCATTCTGAAAGAAAGAAGTGAGATGTGCCAACGTGACGGCCGTCTGGGTGTGTGGTGCGAGACGGGAGATGGAGTTCATTGAGCGCTTTCACACAAAACAATGTGTTACTTCACAGTTTTACGACACATTTTAATTTTTTTGACTTGTAAAATAATCTTTTAAATTGACAAAGATCAGATGTGTAATTCGTGGCTCAATTCAAACGGGATCCAAAGATAATCTTTCTCTCTCCATTGACTTCAATACATACTTTTTCTGAAATAAGGTCCCATGGAGGAAGGGGAGGGGCCTCACCTCTCTACGGCGATCGAGCCTGAAGCCACAGAGCTCTTCTTTGTCCTTTGTTCGTAGAGGAAGTTCAGAAACACTGAACTCTGGATTTGTTTTAATGTTTGAGGAGCAATAAACGACACAGCTGCTTGTTGGCTTGATCAAACTATTATTTCCCGCCTCGCTCATGAGAGTAACAGCTGGAGAAATGACAGCCTCGCCTACTGATTTTAATGTAACCATATATCGAGCCCGATCGTGGATTTCCAATGATTTGATGTGATAGTTCGCCTGACTGAACATCGTCATCGGGCTCTTTGAAGATCCAAGAATCCACAGTTTTCAAACATTTCTGATCGGATTGGCAAAAACTTCAGAATGTGCATTGACCGCCATTCAAATGACAGCGTTGGTTTCCCCCAAAAGTGGGCGGAGCCGTCATTTTCGCCCGGAGGTGACGTAGGTGTTACTCTCATGTATAAAATGCTAGTAAATGAGCATGTCATTTCTTCCTACATTCAGGTTATGTAAAAAATCCCCAAACTACAAAGAAACAAGTAAACCCCTTCAGAGGCCTGTACTACGAAGCCGTTTCAAGCCAGGGTTTCTCTGTCCGGCTGAGTGCGCGTTCACATGAAAGGGGCGGGGTTGGCAACATTTGACCAATCACAAACATGGAGAAGCGTACTGAGCTCTGATTGGTCAGCAGGCGGTGCTTTCACTGAGTTGATCTCTTAGCCTGCAACCTAACCCGCTCCGGACCAGGCTAGCCGCTCAGCATCAGTTACCATGGAGATCTAGCCCGCTAAAAAGAGAACCAGCGTCGTAGGACCGGAAACCCAGAGTCTTCCCTGAAGTCAGCCGCTAAGCCAAAATCCTGCTTCGTAGTACAGGCCTCTGAGCACACTCTTATTGTGGGGATTCTGGGTATTGTAGTTTTATGAAAGAACTCTTTGAACAAACATTGATTATTATTATATTAATAATAATAATAATGATAATAATAATGATAATAATAATAATAATAATAATAATAATAATAATACATGACACTTATATAGCGCTTTTCTAAAAACTCAAAGACGCTTTGACAGAGAATAACACAAAAAATGAAGAAAATACGTAAAGAGACAAACAAAGACAGAAAAGAGGGGGGGGGGGGGGGGTCAGAGTTTGAACAGGTTTTAAGTGATTTTTGAATGTGGTGAGGGAGGAAGAAGAACATCTTATTAAATGCACGGTCTCCCAGCTGGTGTTCCTGTTGTTGTTCCTGTGATGGAAGCTGACAGCTCATTGGATGAATAAGAAACGAGGTTGGACGATTGGAAATCTCTCCAAGTCCCGCGGGATTTCCCCCTGCAGGCTTCCCTTCATGAATCTTTAATGAGACTTCGCTGCTCCAGTTTCTCTAGATCCAGGCTGTCGTTTCCAGGAAGTAGTCTGAGTCCTGCTGATGCGTCTTTACAGAGAAATATATATATATATATATATATATATATATATATACTGTTTATAAAAATACCCAAAGATTACCTTATATTTTATTCATTTATTTGTATTTATTTTTACAAAAAATGATTTAAAGAACAGGACTTTTCCTTTCATGATTGATCAATCAAATATTCACAATTTATCATAAATATGTTTTCCTGTAGCCTGAAATGTAGAATCAGCAAAAAGAGAGATTTGGGTGTTATTAAAATACCATAAAGCAAAAAGAGATCTTAGTTTGTTATGGTAGTTTTCCTCTTCCTCTTCCTCCTCCTCCTCCTCCTCCTCCTCCTCCTCCTCCTCCTCCCCCTCCCCCTCCTCTTCCTCCTCGATCAATATAAACTGAGTGCTGAGACTTCCGGAGGCTCAGGGACTCTCCCTCATTAATAATGAATGTGTGTGTGTGTGTGTGTGTGTGTGTGTGTGTGTGTGTGTGTGTGTGTGTGTGTGTGTGTGTGTGTGGTGTGTGTGTGTGTGTGTGTGTGTGTGTGTGGTGTGTGTGTGTGTGTGGTGTGTGTGTGTGTGTGTGTGTTGTGTGTGTGTGTGTGTGTGTGTGTGTGTGTGTGTGTGTGTGTGTGTGTGTGTGTGTGTGTGTGTGTGTGTGTGTGTGTGTGTGTGTGTGTGTGTGTGTGGTGTGTGTGTGTGTGTGTGTGTGTGTGTGTGTGTGTGTGTGTGTGAATAAACACAGATCGTTTCTCTTCAAACATTTTATTTGTTGTCTCTTCTATACTCTGTAAACCTTTTGTCTGATAGACGATCTATAATAGAGTTTTTTTTAAATCATTCTGATATACATATTCTCTCGTTAGATGATTTTATCTTTTTAAACTTTAGTTACATCCTCATAAACAAACAAACAAACAAACCAACAAACAAAGGTCTTGAAGGTAAACTCCTCAGACTTCATGATGCTACGTTCAGACCTGAAGTCATCTCAGCGATATGAGGAACAGTCTCTCTCTCTTCAGCCACGGGTCATTATCACAGTCTTCATATTGCTGCTTCTATTCTCTCTGTCTCTCACATTCATCAAACACCAACATCAACTAAAGGTATGCTAAGCTAACAGGTGCTAACGGAGGGACGTGAGCACAAACTGAGCGAGAAGAGGTCCAGATGTGGGGATTAGACTTCTAGACCTGAAGGAAACCAGGATTGATGAGCTACATCAAGTTAGCCTAACACACTCTCTGAACATCACCAACATTAATGAAGCTAGTTTAGCTGCTAAAGGAAGCTAGTTTAGCTGCTAAAGGAAGCTAGTTTAGCTGCTAAAGGAAGCTAGTAGCTAACCTCACAGAATCCATGTTAGCTTTGTCTGTTTTCAGACAAATGCTTTGCTAACATGAAGTGGGTTTAGCTGCTAACCCTAGCATTGTCTGTTTTCAGCATCAAAATGCTTTGCTAACATAAAGCTAGTGGGTTTAGCTGCTAACCCTAGCATTGTCTGTTTTCAGCATCAAAATGCTTTGCTAAGTTAAAGCTAGTTGGTTTAGCTGCTAACCCTAGCATTGTCTGTTTTCAGCATCAACATGCTTTGCTAACATAAAGCTAGTTGGTTTAGCTGCTAACCTAGCATTGTCTGTTTTTAGCATCAAAATGCATTGCTATAAACAAGTGTGTTTAGATGCTAATTAGAGGTTTGCGTGATTTTAGCTTCTTTACAGTGTGCTAACCTGAACCTTCTTTCTAACCGCTAACAGGAACACACCTGAGTGACTGCAGTCAGTAAAGGGTTAACCCCAATTAGCACCTGAGAGTCCATAAAGCTAAATAATAATAATAATGGGTGAGTGAATTCAACCTTTTCTTTTTGACAGTTTGTGCTCATGTCCTGAAATGTGTTGACACCATGTCCACCAGCATCATGCAAACTAACACCAGTTCTGTAATGAAAAGCAGACGTTCATCTAAATCCCTGCAGGTTCAGGGACTGGTGGGAAAAACCAAAGCTACGGTCACACCAGAAACCAGAGAGGCTTCTTCAGATTAGTGGAGCTAGCCAGGTCAAGTGTTCCCCTTCAGTTCCAGGCCAGGTCATGTGCCCTTTTGGACCCTCTGAGGTCATGTCTTTGACACTTGATGGTTGTTTTATTGGTTAACTCCAACATTTAACACTCAATATCAAATCTTAAAGCCAATTAACACATTCTTTGTAAGTTGGCCAACGGGTGCAAACGGCCATAAACACTTCCATTAGAAACGATACATATAGAAACACAGATGTGCCAAACCAGGTGCAAATGAAGAGGTGATTCTGCATAAGCACTAATCTATGAGCTGCTGTTTGGCTTCTTCTTTAGAAGGCTTTCATTCAGCTAGAGATTGGGTGAGCCAGGTCAAGTGTTCCCCTTCAGTTTCAGAGCAGACCATGTGCTCTGTTGGAGACTCTGAGGTCATTTCTTTGGACCTTTCCTTTCAAAGCAAACACTTGATGGTTAATTCCAACATGTTACACTCAACATCCAATCTTAGAGCCAATTAACATATATTTTGTACACTTCCATGAGAAACGATGCAAACGTAGAAACACAAATGTGGCAAAACACGTGCAAATGAAGACGTTATCCTGCATTAGCTATGAGCTTCTGTTTGGCTTCTTTACGAGGCTTTGATGTTTAGCTGGAAATGTGGTTAGCTAGCCAAGAGAACAACCTAAAGGAGAGGACCTTCTGCTGACCTGATTGGTTGGAAAACATTTTGGCCAATGGAAACAACCAAAAGTAGAGTCAATGGCCCAGTTCTCCGAGGTTTATCAGTTCAGGAGGAAACTGTGAAAACTGAGTGCTAAAAGATCTGGTGTGAGCGTAGCTTCTTTACGATAAACAGTAAGAATACAAATATCTCCGTCAGGCATTCGGTCCACTTTTAGAAAAGGAGAATCTGTCCGTGATGGAAACCAGAGGACCGGATTATTGATTTATTGGAGCGTTGCACATGGACCCTGAACGCACCGCCTGGTTCTGTGTCAGACGAGCATCGATGCATGGGCGGTTCTAGAGATCACATCTATAATAATGCAGTTTGTGATCAGGTTTAATACTGAGCTGTGATCTGGGTTAAGGTGACAGGAAGGGGTTTTTATAACAAATACCAACCAATAAAGAAATAGCTGCAGAAAGAATGTGTTTATTGCCCTAAACTGCATGTCGGTTAACGGTAAAGTAGGTTAGTCTGTTGTTTTGAAGTTGTTTCTCTGAACTGA